AAAGCTGTAAGTTAGGCGTGTGTATTTCCCTGCAACTGATGCTCAGGGAGGAAGCCTACGTTCACATGCACACTGCTAGTAATTGGCAGAAATGGAATTTGCATCCAGGTCCAAACAAATCAGTGTTCCACACTGTCTCTCTGACACCCCCAATCAGAAATAATTTATCCCTTCTTTAAGCTGTAGTATCATTTTGACTCCACTTTACCATCTTCTATAATATCTTTTTTTTTGCGGGGGGGGGGGCATATTTATGTCTCATTCCAGTTTCCTAGTGAATTTATTACAAGGACTATGTCTCCTGAGTCGCCATCACTGTCTAACATTCTGCTTATCCACATCACTTAGTAAACATTTACAGCAGGAAAAAATAGTTGGAAGTGCAGACTATACGATCATGGAGCGTTATCTCTATGAGAGTAGCATGTTTCTTGAAAAAAAAAAACAAACCAAAAACTGACAAATTAACCAACCTCTAGAAAGCAACAGAAAGAAAGCTCTTGAGCTCAGTCTGAACTCCTAATGAGGTAAATTTTTGTGTTCTGAAAATTTTGATTACCCTAGGAATATTTATGCTCTTCTAGAACAACTGATGAAAGAATTTGCGCTTGTTTCAGTTCAGTTTATATTTTCTTTTCATTTTTTGTTTTGAAAATGTTAATGATTGCACAACTTTTCTACGAGTAATAGTCCTGTTTCAGAGTGTGCTCTTATAAGACTATTATTATCAACTACTTTGTCAGCAGGGTTCTCAAGCCACACACATAAAATATCTCCTGTGGCTAATAACCCACACAGACTAGTAACTTAATTACTAGTAACTGAATTAAATTGTAACTTAGTTACAATTTAAGTAACTTTACTGCCCTAAACAAAGGGTAATCCATGTGACTAGGATTTACAAGTCACTTTCTGACTGTTCCATAGTACCTCACCATAGTTTGTCATTTTCCCCTCAATAACCATTTTGTAATTTACACACTAATGCAACAATCATCCTACACTGATAAATTTCATTGCATAGACACTCCTCCAAAATAATATGCTCTTTTTCTTTGTTTGAATATACCTCTAGAGCAGTTCTCAGTTAAAAACTAAGTGTTAGGATTTAAATGGCAATGCTATGGTATTTGTTATTCAATGATATCTATATCGTTTAAATAATCATGTTATAGGAGATAATTTTGAAAAGAAAAGATGCTTTACAATGTGATATGTGTGCAATTGAGGAGTATTTACTTAAGGATGATAAAGTAATAATTAGGATATTATTTCATATTTTATTAAGAAATGTCAGCAGCTAGGAAATGAATAAGTTCTGAGGATCTAATATACAACATGGCAATTATAGTTAACAATAATGTATTGTATGCTTGAAAATTGCTAAAAGAATAGATCTTAAATATTCTCATCCCCCTCCCTACACAAAAGATAACTATGTGAGGTAGTGAATGTGTTAACTAACCTTATTGTAATAATTTTACAGTTTATCCATTTACCAAATCATTACATTGTACATCTTAAGTGCACACAATGTTATACATCAATTATATCACAATAAAGTTGAGAAAAGGTCAGGCAAGGAATTGTGATATAAATAAATCTTTTGGAGAGCCTTCTTGAATCATCTCAGGTGTCATATAAACTAAAACACAGTTTACTTTTAAATTTAAAAAGTATGTAAATATGACATACTTTAGCTTCACTTGGAGGATAGGGGTATAATATATTAAATAATATTAGTATATCATTATTCCAAAGCATTTAAAAATCATCCATCTGCCCAGCCGGCATGGCTCAGTGGTTGAGCGTCAACCAATGAACCAGGAAGTCATGATTTGATTCCCGGTCAGGGCACATGCCGGGTTGTGGGCTTGTGCAGGAGATAGCCAGTCAATGATTCTCTCTCATCATTGAAGTTTTTATATCTTTCTCCCTCTCCTTTCCTCTCTGAAATCAATAAAAATATTAAAAAATAAAATAATTTTTAAAAAGATTGAGTGACTTTATTTCTGGGTTCTCTACAGCCCAAGTGTCCATCGGTAGGAGAATGGATAAAACAGCTATGGTATATGTACACAATGGGATACTACTTGGCCATAAAAAGGAAGAAAATGTTACCCTTTGCAATAGCATGGATGGACTTGTAAAACATTATACTAAGTGAAATAAGCCAGTCAAAGAAAGACAAGTACCATATGGTTTCACTCATATGTGGAATTTAATGAACAAACTGGTCTGCCTGGCAAAATTGCGACAAACTCACAGATAGAGAGCAGGCAGACAGTTCTGGTGGGGGGATTGTTGGGGAGGGTGGAGGAATTGAGCAAAAAAGAAAAAAAGAGAGAGGACTCATGGAAATAGGCAACACTATGGTGATTGTGGAGGGGGGGAGAGGAGGATATGAAAGAGGGCATAGAAGTGATAAATGGTATTGGGAAAAATGAAATAAGAACTAATGGACAGGGACTATGGTATGGTGAGTGCAGGGGGCTTGGAGGTGGACGGGAGTATAGGTGGGATAAATCGTGATGGAAACAATAAATAAAGAGGGGAAAAAAGAGTGGGTGAGATAGCAATGTCACTGAATTTCTCTGCACTGGTTGAAACGCCTTCACAAAAAACTGGAAGGCAAAGAAAGTTAAAGACAAGTATTCAGAATCTTCCATACATACTCCTCTACCTATGGAGTCCACAAGACAAAACATCAGTTACACATAGGTCCTTGTCCTATTTCTGTAATGAATTTCTAAAACTTAATCTGACATGAATTCTTACATTCCATAATGTCCATAATGCTTGGATATTTAGGATTTATATCTTAAACAATATTTGAAAAAACAATACTTGTATGAGTAACCCTCCTCTTCAGAAGTACTAGAAGAATTCTTCAGCATCAAATAGTTTTATTTTAGTAGACAAGATGTCAAGGTTTTATGCCTTTGAAATGCATCTTTCTTTAATTCTAATCTGGATGATTATAAATATAGCATTGTTACAGAAGACAATATTTTATAGGCTTCTAAAAAAAAGACTAGATGACTATAAAGTCCATTTTCATATCCAAATGAGTGGGGTTCTATTATTCTCTGAGGAAAGGGATAGCACTATATTACTGATGACATGATTAAAATAAAACAGCAATAAAATAAAATTAAATAAATAAAATACATACAAAATAAATATAGCATTCATAAAATAAAATTAAACAGTAATAGAAAATTATAATGTTAGTTC